GATAATAGTGAAACTTCATATACACAATTATTAAATGAATTTAGTGAGATCATTCGTTTGGAAATTCCAGATTTATTACAAGCCCCTCATGGTGAACATATTTTACATTCTGTGGGTTATGTTTATTCATCAAAATCACGTTCTTGGTTAAGTAAAATGGATTCACAAGAAGGTCATATTGGTAAACGTATATTAGGTTATAGTAAACATATACAATCATCATGGAAAGATCGTGTACATGTTGTTAAAGAAACTTTTAAAACAGTTAAATGTGCTGTTCAATGGGGTCAATCAATGTCGAAATTAGCTCGAATTGCTGATGAAGAATCAAATAATGCACAAGGTGATAATGATTCTCAATATCCATTTCAACATCATTCAGGTCATTTAGAATACAGTGGATATATTCCACCGGAACCAACTGCTTCAGCTTCAGCTTCACCTCCACAATCAAATATAAATGTAACAGTACCAGTAAAAGAAAAATCACCACGTAAATCATCAGCAAAATTAATTGTACCATTAACAGATGAAGAAAAACGTAAACTTGAAGCTGATACAGCTACGAAATCAATGGAAGCACTTTGGCATGCGATTAAACTTGAAATTGAAAGTATCGAACGTGATGTTTGCGATCGAGTACTCAATGATTCATCATGTTCACGTAATATTCGTCGATATCGTTGTTTAGCTCTTTCAAAAATCGGTGAACTATGGCAAGAAGCATCATCATCATCGTCTGCTTCGTCATAATCCTATTATTAGTATATTTTTGAGAATTTAAGATAAAGAACAAAATGTCTTTCTTTTGCTTTGTTTTTTTTTAAAGAATGATTTTCCGAGATAAAAATAAATTCTTTTTCTTATTTTTATATTCAATTCTAGATGCTTATTAAATGCAGCATCAAGCATCAACTGAATTAAATGATTTTATTGATTATTCATCATTTAATGATTCAATAAATTTCGAAGAATATTTTACCAATAAAAATGATAATCAATTAACATTAACGAAATTATTTGCACTTTTAAGAACATGGAATAAAAGTGTACATGATAATTTTGCTAAACTTATTCTTTTAGTAAGTAGAAAAAAAAACAACGGAATTTTTTTTGTTAAATAGAGAAAATTTATTTAGATATTAGAAAAAGAGATTAATATTAATGAGTATGATGTAGTAACAGGAATGAATTTACTTCATTTCACATGTAAATTTGGTGCAAAACAAATTGGACATGAACAAGATGCAATACAAATCATGAATATACTTATTGATAAAGGTATTAATCTCTCGGCTTCATGTTTATGGATGCAAATGAATTGTCTTCATTATTGTGCTTTCTTTGATTCTTCCTCAATCTGCGAGCTTCTATTAAAACAATCGAAAGTTTTATCTCGTAAGAATATTTAATCGTTTTATTTTCCATAATAAGTTCTTGTTTTGTCTTTAGTATTAAATCAACCTTGTTTTTCCTTTAAAAATAGCAGTCCATTACATTTAGCATGTGCAACTTTATCTTTATCAACAGCTGAAATTTTATTAAAAGCTGGAGCTAATAAAAATATACTTGATGACCAACAAAGAACACCTTCTGGTTTGATTTTATTCTTTTTTTTTGTTATAAAGTTAATCTTATTGAATTAGATTGCATTCCAACAATGAATAATGATGAACAACAACAACAAATTGCAGAGACATTACGAGCTCTTCTTCCAGATCAAGAATCCGAAGAACAACAACAATCACTTTTACTCGATTCAACAATAAGTAGTAAGAAATAATTTATTTCATCAGAAAAATATTACATTCAACTATATTTAGATTCAGAACATCAACCAACAACAACAATGCAATTTCAACAAGGTGAACGTATTCGACTTACAAATAATAAAGTAAAATGATTGTTTTTTTCTCTATTAATTATTTAAATATTTAAAACAATAGATTGGAACAGTAAGATATTTTGGTAGTGTACCATTTGGTGTTAATCTGTGGTATGGAATAGAACTTGATGAACCCTATGGTAAACATGATGGATGTGTAGGTGGAATACGTTATTTTACATGTGCAGAAAATAAAGGCATTTTTGTACAACCATCATTCTTACAAAAATTAACACCAGTACCTCATTCACCGGAACGAGAACGTAGATTTCGTCCAATAAATTTTCCACTACCGGATACGAGTGCTATTTCAAGTCGAATTGATTCTGGTATAAATAGATGATTTCTTGATAACCAGTTTTTATATTTTTTCTTTAAATAAAGGTTTAAGACGAGATAGTTCAGCTGATGGTCGAGGCATAGAACCATATCAAGTCACTGATCGTGTATCTCTTTCAAAAAATCGAAGCGGAACTGTGAAATATGTTGGACCAACACTATTAGGATCAGGTATAATACTAAATAAAACCGCTATATAATTATTTATTTTAATAATTTAAGGTATTTGGTATGGTATTGAATTAGATTCATCCGATGGTTTACATGATGGATGTTTAAATGCAGATGGCCCAAGATATTTCCAATGTAAACCACAGCATGGTATATTTGTACGAGGGTTCAATTTAAAAAAGTAGATTAAAAATTATTTTATTAAATACAAAAAAATCTAATTTAATTTATATAGATTAAATACGAGTGATCAACAATCACAATCAATGATGGATTCATTTGATCATGTGTCTAAACGAAATTCAAGAATGGTAGTTTCAGACTATGATCCAAGGAGTAAGTTTTTCTTATTTTTGTGAAACACGATAAGCACCATAACAGCTTTTGATATTGAGACGAATCCGTTGTTTATTATTTCTAGTGATGTCATCTAGTATTATTGACAATGATTCATTCAGTAAATCAACAAGTTCTGGGTAAATTAATTTCTATTGATTGAAAAAGAAAATATACATATATTCATTTTTAGTATTCAAAGTATGACATTCCAAGTTGGCGATAAAGTCTATTGTCATAATCATGCAGGTAACTATTTCATATGAATAATAAAAACGACTATATTTTCTTTTTAGCTATTGTACGTTTTATTGGTACAACATTATTTTCCGATGGTATATGGATTGGTATAGAATTTTTATCGGGAGCACTTGGTAAAAATGATGGATCTGTTAATGGACATGTATATTTTCAATGTAAACAAAATTATGGCTTATTTATTCGTCCAAATCGATTAACATTAACAAAAAAATAACAAAAATCAACCATAATTACTTCTCATATTTTTCTCAGGAAATAAATAACTGTGATTTTGTTCTTCCTTTTTGTGTTTTTATTAGTTTTTATTTTTTTCAACTGTGATAAAATTTCTAGTTAGGTTTTAGTTTTCAACAAATAGTTCAATAGTTTCTTTTTGTAGAAGAAATAAAAAACAAAACCCATGGCTAAAACACCAACAAGAAATATTTCAGCAACATTAAATGATCAAACCATTGATAATGATGATCGATGTAAGAATTCATTTCTTTTTCTTTTTTTATATTAATTTCAAATTAATTTCAAGTTGATGATTATGCATCTGAAAATCCATTGGATTTTACAGCTGGTAGTATTCGTCCAAATGAACATGCATTTTTTTCTGATGTAACAACAATGAAAGAATTAGAAACTGATCTTACAGATTTATTACAACGATTTCGTGAAGGAACATTACTTGCATTTAGTAAATAAAGACTTTCTTCTTTTTATTTATAAGTATTTAAATTTCAATAGGTCCACAATTTACGTGCAATAAAATGGACACAATACGAGAAACTCAAGAACAATTAGCACGATTACATTTTTCATTGGATAAAGATTTATCAACAATAAATATTGAATCTGATGAATGTCAAAAGAAAGCCAATGAAAATATGTCATGTCTTATGCAAAAGGTAGATAAAATATTTTTTTATAAAACAAAAAAATTTTCTTATTTTTCTATTTTTTAGTTACAAAAATTAACTGAAGAAATGTAAGTTATTACAAACGGTATAAATAAAACTTGTTTTCTTTTTTATTTTCTAGTGAAAAATTACCGCAATTACCACCAGATCATCCAAATAGCAATGGAACTGAATAATAAATTTTTTTTTCTGTCTCTTCTGTTAAATAAAATTTCTAATACAATAATTATTTCATCATCATGAATAATACTCTTTTCATCAGCCTTGTAGAAATATTGCACAATCACATTGCAACTTTGCATATATAAAGAACAAGAAAAAATTTGAATAAAATACATTAAATAGAATATTTTATCAACATGATTTCATATCCTGAAACGGAACAATTTCGCCAAGCGATCAATAAAATCACACGAAATACGCGTCGACGTGAAGAAGATCGAGATAAAGTATTACCTGTTTTGAAATTTATTGGTACTGTTAAATTACATGGATCGAATGCAGCGATTGGTTATCATAAAGATTCAGGACATTGGCTTCAATCACGAAATAATGTTCTTACACCGCAAAAAGATAATGCAGGTTTTGCAACATATATGGAACCATTAGCAGATCAACTTTTTAATGATTATGTTCTTCCTGCAAGCGCAACTATTCGAGAAAAATATGAACAAGGACAGAAAATTATTATTTATGGTGAATGGTGTGGTGGAAATATTCAAAAAAATGTTGCTATTGTTGGCCTACCAAAAATGTTTGTTATTTTTAAAATAAAAATTCGCGATGAAACAATAGTAGTAACCGAAAAAGAAGGTGAAGATGAGACTGAAAATGAAGAACTTTTAAAAAATTCAATTTGGCTTGATCCAAAAGAATGGACAAATATAAAATGGCATGATAAATTAATATATAATATATTTGATTTTCCAATTTATGAAATTGAGATTGATTTTGAATCTCCAAAATTATCACAAAATAAACTCATTGAAATAACTCAAGAAGTTGAACGTCAATGTCCTGTTGGAAAATATTTCAATCAAACAGGTATTGGTGAAGGTGTTGTATGGACAGAATGGGCACAGACTCATGGAAGTTTAACATTTAAAGTTAAAGGTGAAGAACATTCTGTAAGTAAAGTTAAAACATTAGCACCTGTTGATACGGAAAAATTAGAATCGATCAAAGAATTTATTGAATATGCATGCACAGAAAATCGAATGCGTCAAGGTCTTGATTATTTACGTGAACAACAATTAACAATTGAAATGAAAAATGTGGGAACATTTATAAAATGGCTTGTAAATGATATTATTAAAGAAGAAAAAGATACAATGAATGCATCGAATATTGACGAAAAAGATGTATCACGTGCAGTACCAAATAAAGCTAAACCATGGTTTCAACAACAATTAATTTAATATATAATAAACTTTTTGATTAATATTATTTCAAAGTAATTTTATTTTTATAGTTATAATAAACATATTCCGAAAATTTTATTCAGAAATTCATCTATCGGAAGTAATGTGATTATAGTGTAAAAAACGGAAGAATATGACATGTGAAAATATCTTATACTAATCGAGACGTCATAAAACGTGTTTTTCGACATTTATTCCTACAGAATTTTTTTCGATTGTAAAATCATCATCTCTCATGTGGAGGCTTGTAAATTTTTAATACTTCAGACTTTATTAATCTGCAGTATGGTAACAATGAATCATGATTCAAACTATTTATATTTTTATTGTTAAGAAACTACGATAAGCTATTCATGGAGGATGTTATTATTTTGTTCAAAAATGATTATTTTTTCTCTCAGTATGCTCTGTTATACGCAATAAGCAATGAGGTTCTATCGATTTTGATTTGACCTTATAATAAAGAATAAAGATAGTCTTTATTTTAAAAACAGATAACGCTCATTTATGGATTCGTTGACCCTTTTCTGAAAGAAACAATGATAGTTTGGTTAGTAAAGTGTTTAGTCTAATCATATAATGTTCCTGAATGGCTGCCAGTAGATATAATAACCAGAACAGAGCACATCAGGACCCTCTCTTAAAATACAAAATAAAATAATTATCTAGTAGAAAAGAAGGAAAATAATCAGAGATAGAATTGATTAGGTTCTATATAACTCTACATTTATTTCAACACTTAGAATAATGAGAGAAAGAATATGTAAAAGGATACGTAGCAAATATTTCTGTTTGTAGTATTTTTTATGAGCAATAGAATTCAATTTTAGTTTTATACATTGAAAAACAATATAAACTTTTCATTCAAACAGCAATCTTTAACTTTTAAAAATGAACATAAATGAATAAAAAATTGATTTATTACTCGTTTTGATTTATATTGTTGGTGAAAAAGTTACTACGTAATTGGTTTTTATTAGAATGAATACGATATTTAATCATTTTTAATAAACTTCATTTCGTATCTAATAGACTTGTTCATCAAATAATTTCTACAAAGTAGTTGACAACCAGTAACTATTTTATATCACTGAAAACAAAGAACTTGGATTTTTTTCATACACTTTATTCAATAACTGTAACAAAAACAAGTAGACTAAGAAATACAATATAATAAGCAAAGAAAAAAATATAAAATGAATATGTCAGCATAACTCAATATGAAGATGAAATGTATATGGTTAATTAACAGTTTCCATGAAAAATGCAGATTATTCCAGAAGCAGGAATATAATTAACATTAATTTTATGGATTTGACGGTATTCTAAGAGACAAATGCAGTCCTTTTGCCTCTTTAGTAAAAGCTTCAATGAGCTCGTTATATAGTTTCAAATTTGGAGCACGTAGTTCTATTGGTTCACCATTATCATACACCATCAATTTGCCTTCATTAATTGACACCGCAACACCTTTCAGGAATGTTATTACAATCGCCGTGGACAGCCAATCAGCATTTTGAGTAACGAAAAATTTTCTGATTAATTCATCCAGTGAAATGATTTTTAGGCACTTCAATCGTCTTCCACGCATGCACAGCTTAAAAATTAATATTGGACCAAAATCAATCAGTACGGCTGACGAATGTAAAATACCATCTATAGCATTTGCAACTTGAAAAGGCAAATTCCCATTATCATGCATATCCACAAGCTTAGTGATCAGTTCCTTCGTCGCTGCTTTTTCACCGATTTTTTCGAGACCTCCGCATGCAGCTAATCTGACCTCCTTACTTTTGTCTTCTAATGCATTAATCAATTCGGTGATCACTTCATCTGTCGCTGCTTTACCACCTATATTTCCGAGAGCTGTGTATGCCCTCACTCTGACCTCGTTACTCACATCTCCTAATGCATTAATCAGTTTAGTGATCACTTCATCCGTCGCTGCTTTTTCACCTATATTCCCGAGAGCGTCACATGCACTTGATCTGACACTGTCATCCTCATCTTCTAATACCGTAATCAGTTTACTGATCACTTCATTCGTCGTTGCTTGTTTACCTATATTCCTGAGAGCAAGGCATGCATATGATCTGACATGTTCACTCTCATCTTCTAATGCACTAACCAGTTCAGTAATAACTTCATTTATCGCTGCTTTTTCACGTATATTCCCGAGAGCATAGCATGCACTTGATCTAACCCATTCACTCTCATCTTCTAATGCACTAACCAGTTCAGTGATAACTTCATTTATCGCTGCTTTTTCACGTATATTCCCGAGAGCCCTGCATGCACTTGATCTGATACTGTCACTCTTATCTTTTAAAGCACTAAGCAGTTTAGTAATCACATCATTCGTCGCTGCTTTTTCACCCATTTCTCCAAGAGCTACGCATGCACTGTTTTTGACAAGGTTATTCTCATCCTCGAATGTACTAAACAGCTTATTAATCACTTCGTTCGTCACCGCTTTTTCACCCATTTTCCCGAGAGCTTGGCATGCAGACCATCTGACACGTTCACTCTTATCTTCCAATGCACTAACCAGTTTAGTGATTACTTCATTCGTCGCTGCTTTTTCACCTATATTTCTGAGAACTACGCATGCACTGTGTCTGGTACTGTCACTTTTATCTTCTAAAGCACTGAGCAGTTTAGTGATCACTTTATTCGTCCCTGATTTGTCACCAATTTCTCCGAGAGCTTCACATGCACTGATTATGACACTCGTATCCTTATCTTGTGATGCACTAATCAGTTTAGTGATCACTCTATCCGTCGCTGCTTCTTCATCTATATTCCTGAGAGCTTCGCATGCATAGTATCTGACGCTGTCGTTTTTATCATCTAGTGCGATAGTCACTAAATTAATCAGTGCAGCCGGTAGATTTGAAATGTTCATTTGAGAAATAAATGAGACTACTGTGATTCTGATCTTTGAATTATCATTTTGAAGTAGATGGGTAACTACATTGATAATTCTTTGATTGCTTATTACCGATGGTGCTCTTCCTAATGATTGTACAAGACATTCAGGAATAATTTTGTTTTCTGATGACAAAGTATATTCAATGTATTTTGCTATCCATTCTATCAATACAGTGTGTTGTGGAATAATTGATTGGCCAGCTGTCTCTTCAATGCAAGAAATAATAAGTTGCATATGTCTTATTCCAAGAAGATCTATCGGTGATGTTAATATAAGCCCCCAAAAGATGTTTAAACATGTGTTTGAATCAGCTTCATTGGATAGACCGGCTAGAAAAGTAAATACTAATGCATAACGTTGATTGTATTTCTCTCGTTGAATAAACTTCATTTCTTCTGGATGAGTTGAAGAGTTTTTGAGAGCTTTAATCAAATATCGTGCTGTAAAATATTCTTGGAAACTGAGATGCACAAAATAATGATCTTTGTCCGTTTCAATTTGAGTATTGATACCTTGTTTATTAAAACTTTTGAGAATTCCCATATTGAGTATATGCAGATGATTAAATGAAGAGTCTTTCTTTAATGCTTCATTCAGTAATTCTGATTGTAGAATAATAGTGTTACTCTTCATTCCATTAAAGGCTAGATTTTCTAAGAATGCTAATTCTTTTTCACAACGTTGGTTGACGTCGTCTTTAGATAAATTTTGAATTTTTTTATTTGGCATTGATAAATATCGTCGACATAACCATTCTATCATAACTGTATATAATGATGTTATTGTTAATTCTTTTGTTAATATAAAATCTTCATTACTCCAAAGACTGCATATCAGTTCTAGATTCACTGGAATATGTGCAACACCCCAGATAGATCGATTTGTTTGTAAGAATCTGAATAGTTTTTGACTTTTGTTCAAAGAATTGTCTAATTCATTTTTTATTTGATTAAAGAATTGCTGTACATACTGTTTGATATTGTCGTCTGTAAAACCTGTGATTTCCATTTGTACATGATAAGCTAATGAATTTTGATATGGACGAGATGTTAATATATGATGTGGAGTTTTAAGTAATTGTTCGAATAAACATTCCAAATGTGAAGGTACATTTTGTACAATTTCATCATATCCATCCAAAATCCATAGAGTTTTTCTTGCATCAAAGTGCTTTTTCAGAAGTTTGTCTTCACTTTCAGATAGATCATATGAAAAGATCTCTTTTTTTACAAGATCAATTAAAGAATAACTTTGACCAATTGGTAAAGGAGGATATCGATTAGTTGTTAAGCGACGTAATGGAATCAAAGCCAATAATTCATACTGTGTCCAACATAAACCCATCGCCCATTGATAAGCAATATATCGACAAAATGTGGATTTTCCGATTCCAGCACGTCCAAACACCAGCACTTTCTTCTCTTGATTTTTACATGCTTCAAAAATGTTTTTAACATCTATTGTAGTTTTTGTTCCGTAAATCTCTTCAAAACTTCCCATAATTGCATCACTATTGGGAGCATCACGAAGTTGTTTTTCTTTTTGTTGTTGTTTTTCAGTTTCGATGAGGGCTAAATTAATATAACTGTCTTCAATTGAATAGAATTTTGCTGGATTCATTAGACGTTCAATATAACCATTTTGTCTATACTCTTGTTTTATCCATTCAAATAAATGATTTGATTCAGATTGTGATTCACTATTAAAAATATATAGAATATTTAGCAAAATAATGAATATTTTATAAATTCCTATCGGCCATAAGCTCATGTAATGTATTTTCGATTAGTTCAAGTAATTTACTAATGGATTTATAAAAGAGGAACTAATATCTCATGTATCACAAGGAGATTTATCTATTTGCATTTCTATAAACTTTTTCGGGCAAACCTTTAGCTTTGCTACGGTTCATCAATAAAAAATAGATGTTATCGAAAAACTATATGGAATGTTTTGTAGATCTTCTTATAGGTAGTTAGTATGTGAATTGTAAAAGTTCTAGTTGAAACTATATTCTAGTTTGTAAACTTATATGTACGCATTACTATCAGCTTTAGTTTACCTTTTCTATGATATGTGCTTCTTGTCAATATTTAAGTTTCAATGTTAAAGTATTTATCAGATAAAATAAAGGGTGAGACAATGTGAATCGTATTGTAGATCGTCATACTTATATAGTAGAGAATTTTTATAGAATGGTCACATTAAATATATTCTCAATGGCAAATGAATGTGATACATTTTATTTATCTTTTTAAGTGGACTAACCTTTGAGGAGTTATTTCATTCAAGTGAACAACAAAGAGACGATTAATGAAATTGAGTGCTCCGGTTTTGGCTTGTACACAAGTTCCAGGCATTAGAACAACTTCCTTTTCCTCTGGACTTGCTGAAAATTGGGAGATATCTTTGCCACATTTAGCTTCAATGGTGAATAAAGTGCCATGTTCGCCAAGAAATGGTTGAACAATTTCCAGATCCAATGAAGTCGAGTTTACACTCCACCAGATCTCAATATTATTGTTAGCAAAGACTGAACTGACATCACCGTAGACGGCTCTCCAAACAACCTTGTTAATTGATGGTAATTTCTTGAGAGCTGTCATAAACAATTTTAAGTAAGCAAACCATGGCTTAAGTGCATGTCGATTTTCAGCTCGAAGTGCTTTGTTAAGAGAAGAAAAGAAAGATGATGGCATCGAATAAAGATATATGGCCGCTGATTCATCCCGCATTAATAAATCTGAATATCGATTATATTTCTTTTTAGCTGTCATAACATAAGCTAAGACATTGGGAACGAGTGGAATCAGTTCTTCTACAGCTTCTTCTAATGTCAGAATAGGTGAATCTTCATAACCAAATATTGGACTGCGATTGGCTTCTTGAAGTTCTGAGAGAGTGCGGTTTACGAAACGATTTTCCGACATAAATATCAATTATTGTTGTATTTTCGCCGAGATTCGTTTAAGTTGATCGTTTGTATCTGAAAGGCAAAAATAATTTAGACGATGCATCAATTCAAATCTTGCTCCAGATTCGTAGTCTTCTACTGAATTTTCAATAAAAGCAAGGTTCATGTCTAGCAAGAACTGTTGTGTGGCTACTAGTATACGAAGACAAGCTTTCGATTAATATTATAGAAGACGAGTACGAAGACATCCATATGCATTCAAGTTATCGTTTAGTATAAACGAAAATAGGGTCAATAATTGTGATAGTAATTGACTACCCTTATCCCTCATTGTATGCCTATAGAATATTATTAAATACATGCAGAGCATAAACAATATGTATGCGATATGTCGCTATAAAAAGATGACTTGCATTATGAGCCTGAACGTAGATAGATCTGAGATTCTGTAAAAGATAAAAGTAGAATGTGAGTATATGTTGATAAAGCGCTGAGAAATGTAGGCGAGAGCGTTCAGCCGCGAAGCACTCGATTGTTTATGATTATTTTTAAGAAATTTTAGTTAGAGAGAAAGAAAACGAAAAGAACACATTTTGGATAGAATGCAAGTTGAAGCTCATCTAACGGCAAATCGAAAAATACGCGTAAAAACAATAACCTACTCACTTTGATGTAGAATATGGCTTCGAGGATTAAACAAGTTTATTGATAAATCACACAAGACAATAGTAAACAATAAAGTAAAAGATCATATAATTTGTTATATAAAAATGAGGGCTGTATATATAGAGAGAGAATGACTATCTTGGTAGAGCGAAAGATACATATAGAATATTAGAAGATATCACATCCTAGTAAAGATATCCAGGTACAAGTTATTATATACGATATCAAGAGAGAGATAAAGATGTTTATCGAGGCAAGAAAGAATAAGTAACACGTGGATTTGTTAGAAGAAGATATTACCACATAAAACCACCATAAAGAGAATTTTATCACGAAAAGAAATCTGTTATACGAAAAAACAATTGCGTAATAGTTTTTGCCGTAGAAAGAATACTCGTCATGTTAAGAAATTCAAAACAATATATGCGCCGTCGCCTTTATAAATGGCGAGAAGAGACTGCTGAAAATTTTTCTTTGAAAGAAAGGAGAAAGAGTAGAATGCTGTTTGACTGTATGTACAGAATAGTTTTCTTCCACAGATTCTTATCTAATATAGTAACATAAACACCATTTTTTCTCTTTATCATGAAATAAATCAGTCTCTTCTATGTAAAATTAAACGCAAAATGAACGCGTGTATCTGTATTACTATTTGAAAACGTGGATCAATCCAAAAAATATTCCATTAAAACATGACTTTAAATAAAAAGAAGTGGCTATATACACCTAGATAGATAAAAAAATTAACTAAAAAATATTAAGTTATATCAGTCTTACACACATTTCATTACTAACATATATGAAATGTCTTAACTAAATAATAGTTTTACTTTATTAATTCTTTATTACACTCGAAAATAAAATAAAATAATTTATTACAGTTGTGTATATTCGCAAAAAAAACTTAATTTAAATAAAAATCAATCATCTTACAAGCATTTCTATAACTTATTGTCTTGGGCTTCAAGTAGTTTTTTTTCTATTAATTAATTATAAAACAAAAGATACTATATTTTTTCATAATTAATTAGTATATAAATTGGAAAATTGAAAAACATTAGATTAATCAGCACTCAGCCCAAGATAGTACAAGCGCATACTAGTCTGATTGCATTTGCTCTTAATATAATACTAAAAAGTGAATACGCAGTTCATCGGCACTCTTTAAGCAGAAAAAGGAACAAGATAAAGATTCTTTTTTCATGTAGCAATCTGACAATTGAGAGGATTTTGAAAAAAATTTTAAAAAGTGGTTTGATATATATTAACCGCTCTTCAATGAAATATAATGAAAAAAGAGTGAAAGAAATATTTGTAAGATGATTGATTTTTATTTTAAATAAGATTTTTTGCGTATATGCGCAACTGTGATACATAATTTAAACTTATTTTTGAATTTATTAAAGAATTAATAAAGTAAAACTATTATTAAGTTAAAACATGTCATTTACGATTTTAAGAAGTGATGACATAATAGCTGTTGAAGTACTCAATGAATTTCTATTTTGAGTTGAAATTGAATGACAAACGTTCGATATAATATGTTAACTGAAAAGTGAGTTGATATGAACTGTTGATAGATGATATTTCTAAACTAGAAAAGATATCTTAATAAGACATAATCTATGAACAGAGTAAACTAGTTTGATCTCAATTAAAAGAATTAGATGATTTCAATTTTTTCTTTAGTAAGAATTTTGTGCTTTTCATAAAGCTTATGTCTCTTACAGGGTTAAGTTCTTTTCCCTACACATCAGACATTCTCTAGACTACTTCCGAATGAATTTTGCTCAAATAAGCATACTACTAGTATTTTAGCTTAGCAATATATATGAACTATTTCTAATCACTAATTCACCTGATCAAATTCGATCATCTCGCGTATATGTACTTCAATAAGTTTAATTACACAAAAGGTGATAGGTAGTTTTTTTGTTTTCAGTTAAAATATATTAATGATATGAAAATAATTATAAAATCATTCGTGTGGTTCTTTTTCAATCAATCAAATAAATATAATGAATTTATTCAACAATTAATGTTGCTAAGATTCTCTGTATACTTAATCAAATAGCAACCGCGTTCTAACATGGATGATGTAACAAGCATTATCGGCGTAGTTATCACATCTATATTCGTTCTGATTACAATTTTAACTGGACTTTTATACTATTTCATTGTATATCATCATCATGAACAACAAAAACGAAGTGATAGTGATACTAACATTTCTACAACAATCGAAGAAAACAAAATTTCAACGACATCGTTTTAAAAAAAAGATAGGACTTCTTATTATCATTTACCCGCACTCTTTTGATTTATAAAGTTCTATATGTTTTTCACTAGTAACGATCCATTTTCAAATAATATTAAAAAATCTAATTATATAATAACTTTTCTTTCTGGTACAATAACTGGAATAGCATGGTGGATTATCATTGATATACTCGTTCGTTCAACTGAAGATTTATTTTCTCGTATTTACATTCTACCTGGTATTATCATTACATTAATGCTTATTATTATTCATTTCATTCCTAATACAGCAATACAAGATGAAAATAATCTAATAAATCTATTTAATAATGATGGTCATTCAATAAAATGTGCAAGATTTTTATTATTTCTTATTTTTCTTATCATTTTTTCAGCTGTTATCGCTAGTGTATGGATATTTATTGCAGATTATATAAGTACAACTAACATAAACAAGAAACTAACATATGTACAATGGTTTGGTGCTGGTAATATGTTATTTACAATATTACTTGCTATTGCTTCATTATTAAATCGATTTGGACGAAAAGAAATCGAATAGAATAATATAATAATAAAAACGATTAATGCCGACATCTAGGGATATT